CAGCAGGAGAGTCCTGCTTCAATTAAAAAAACCTCACACTCTCTTTTCATTGGCTGTCTTGGCTCCCTGCCAATGCTTCCTGGAGACTCCCCAGGACCTACTGTCTCTGGGTTTAATCCTGACAGGCAATTTAATTAACTGGATGACAGGATGTCCAGAAAAGAGTGGTACCCCTCCCATTAATCGCAGGGTCTGATTATGGTTGTGCATTACACTGACACTCAGTGGCTGTCCCCTTTCATACTGCCAGTGCAGTACAAAGCACCCATTCCACACAGTGTAATTGAGATTAAGGCCCATTCAGTATGATGGACTGTGTCCAAATGCAAAGTCACTGTCAATGCTTCCTGCCCATTTCAGGCGTGATCCAAAGCCCATTGAAATCAGCGAGAGCCTTTGCATCTGGGGCCTTACTAGACGCAGGGTGAGGCCCCACATTTCCAATTGTGCAAATCTCTTCTGAGTGAAACACAAAGAAGAGTTCGTAGGCGATTCCTGCAAGTTTGAGGGAGAAACTTGGTGGGACCAGTGATATTTGGGACTGACTTACAGCTCAATCCTTTAAAATGTAAATGGATTTGCTCTGTCATTTTTAAATTACTTAATCACTTGTCTTGACTTTTAATCTTTGATAATACAGACATTTGGATTCTTCTCTCGCTCTAACCACACTGGTTTTAGACAAATTTGAGGCGTCAGGGAAAATCCATTTTCTCAAATCTTTATAAGGGGAAAATACGTGACACTATTTATCTTCACTGATTTGTTCCATCTTTTTATTTGTTTATTTTAATTTATTACATGAGCCTGCTTAAAATGCACAGTCACATTCACACACACAAATTTAGCTCCATATTCGCACCATGGAAAAACAGTTTCATCACACTTTAATGGTAATTTAATTTTTTTAAAATGGCAAATCTGTGATCTAAAATGATAATATAGCAGTGTAGTTGTTCTGCAGGAGACTAAAAAATGGAGATGCAGAGCAAACTTGTTTGCATAATAATACCCACTGTGCATGTCTGGATTTTGTATGCATGTCTGTTAGCTGCAGATCAGTGGATCCCAAACTTTTCAGCTCATGCCCCTTTTTGATTTTTGAAAAACCCTCACGGCCCCCCGCAAAATAGCAGCAAAATTTGTTGAGCAAAAACAAACAAACAAAAAAAGGAACTGACCGAGGCAGCAAAATTTGAGGGGGGGAGAGGCTGGGTCGCTTCGCACCTCCTCTGGAATTTCTTCAACCCCCCCCCAGGGGGCACAGCCCCTAGTTTGGGAACCCATGCCTTAGATCATCAGGAAGACAAGGACTCATATTCTGAGTAAGTGATGCTCTAAAATATCATCCGCAGCAACTTAGGGCTCTTGCTGTGGAAGTTTTTAATCCCTTTTTATATTTAAAATCATGGGATTTGCTGATATGAGAAGTACATTTCCTTTTCCTTTTCAGCTGTCTGGAGCATGGGGTGCAACTTTCATTTACCAGCTTTCTCCGATGAGCTGTTGAGCCCAGAAAAAGAATCATCCCATGTAGGCACTTCCAAGTGTTTTCTGTCCCTTCTGCACAAAAATCAAGCCCCGTGGAAACTCTCCTCCCGCGTGAACAATTTGGGAATGCTAGGTGCTTGTTCAGCAGAACCTGGGCCTATGTTCTTTGCGCTGGATTAACACATGCTTTCAAGGAGACGCATATTTGATGTGTGACTTTGCCAAAAGAAGTTGATAATGAAGGCGATTTAGTAAAGCGCTACACGAAGTGTGTTCTCTGGCAGACATGAGAGGCCACTTCCTTCTTCGGGGTTCTGCCAGCTATAAAAATCAATGTGGGAAGGAGTCTTGTCTTTAGCAGAACTGGGCGCTCCCAGAGGCAAACTGGGAGGGTGGTTGGTACTGGCCACACCTAGAAGCAGAAAACAAATATGGTTTGAATGGAAGTAATGTCTTTGATCAATGCAAAAATTAGCCTGAAACTGACCCTCGACGCAATTTAAAGTAATTGTTACATCCCGTTTTTTTTTTCTCTTTGTCTTAGTGGCCCTTTTCTTGTAATGGAAACTCTGAAATAACCAGGCCTGGAGTTGAACTGCTCTCAGCCTATTTCCCTGTGTTGTTTCTTTTGGCCATTAAAAACTGGAATATTTGTGCTGCTAAGTACTTGCCATCGGCAAGTGGAAAGTGGCAAGGTGATAGGGAACAGCCAGCATGGATTTGTAAAGAACAAATCATGTCAAACCAATCTGATAGCTTTCTTTAATAGGATAACGAGTCTTGTGGATAAGGGAGAAGCAGTGGATGTGGTATACTTAGACTTTAGTAAGGCATTTGATATGGTCTCGCATGATATTCTTATCAATAAACTAGGTAAATACAACTTAGATGGGGCTACTATAAGGTGGGTGCATAACTGGCTGGATAACCGTACTCAGAGAGTAGTTATAATGGTTCATAATCTTGCTGGAAAGGTATAACAAGTGGGGTTCCGCAGGGGTCTGTTTTGGGACCGGCTCTGTTCAATATCTTCATCAATGATTTAGATATTGGTATAGAAAGTACGCTTATTAAGTTTGCAGATGATACCAAGCTGGGAGGGGTTGTGACTAATCTAGAGGATAGGGTCATAATTCAAAATGACCTGGATAAATTGGAGAAATGGTCTGAGGTAAATAGGATGAAGTTTAATAAAGACAAATGCAAAGTGCTCCACTTAGGAAGGAACAATCAGTTTCATACATATGGAATGGGAAGGAGTATGGCAGAAAGGGATCTAGGCGTTATAGTGGACCACAAGCTGAATATGAGTCAGCAGTGTGATGCTGTTGCAAAAAAAGCAAACATGATTCTGGGATGCATTAACAGGTGTGTTGTGAGCAAGACACGAGAAGTCATTCTTCCGCTCTACTCTGCACTAGTTAGGCCTCAATTGGAGTATTGTGTTCAGTTCTGGGCACTGCATTTCAAGAAAGATGTGGAGAAATTGGAGAGGGTCCAGAGAAGAGCAACGAGAATGATTAAAGGTCTAGAGAACATGACCTATGAGGGAAGACTGAAGGAATTGGGTTTGTTTAGTTTAGAAAAGATAAGATTGAGGGGGGACATAGCAGTTTTCAGGTATCTAAAAGTGTGTCTTAAGGAGGAGGAAGAAAACTTGTTCATCTTGGCCTCTGGGGATAGAACAAGAAGCCATGGGCTTAAACTGCAGCAAGGGAGGTTTAGGTTGAACATTAGGAAAAAGTTCCTAAATGTCAGGGTAGTCAAACACTGAAATAAATTGCCCAGGGATGTTGTGGAATCTCCATCTGTGGAGAGATTTAAGAGTGGGTTAGATAAGTGTCTATCAGGGATGGTCTAGACCGTATTTGGTCCTGCCATGAGGGCAGGGGACTGGACTCGATTGACCCCTTGAGGTCCCTTCCAGTCCTAGTATTCTATGATTGATTTGGTACACATGACCGAATGTTGATGCTATGCTAAGCCCACACTGGCACTTTACTATGCTGCAACTTTCTGGCGCAGCGGTGTGAAAAGACATCCTCCTCCCTGAGCGCAGCAAGTTACAGCACTCTGAAGCTCTGGGAGACATGTTCCTAGCTCTCTGGGCTCCTCCCCTCGTGGAGGTGGTTAACCGTCTGACTTTCGGCATGTGCCCAACGTAGTACTGCCAGAAGATTTCCCGGGTGTTGCTTGGGTCCTGAACGAATTAAGTTTTGTCTTTCTTCTTTGAAATCATTGAAAGCTCTGGGGTGGGGCTGGGGAGGAGGGGTTCAGTGTGCAGGCTGCCCTGGGGAGAGTGGACTAGACCTGCTGAATTGAACGCCAGGAGATGGATCTTCTGCACATAAGTATAGACGTGGCCTGAGACTACCACAAAAAAAAAAAAAAAAAAGAGTGAGAATCAGGGTTCTATGCTAGCCCAGACCAAGGTACATCCCGTCTCTGGCAGTGGCCAGTGCCAGGTACTTCAGAGGAAAACACAAAAGCTCCATAATTTACAATTACCTGATACTTTGCCTCAGAGGAAGCTTCCCCCTAGCCCTCTGCAGTTATCGGTTGACTTATTTCCTGAAGCATTCGTTAGGTTTTGTATCCCTTTCACGTTTGTATCCTATTTTAAACACAGCAACTGTGGCTGCTCCGGTTGTTCATACAAATGTCTAATCCTTTGTTATTAAATCTCTCCGGGGATGGACATCTTTCTTTGCCTCTAAGCATTTGCATTGCCATTCTCTTACCTTTCCCCACTTCTGTTCTTTCTTCATGGCACTGAGACAAGCAGGGCTGAATGCGTCCTTCGAGGTGAGGTTGTACCATTTCTTTCTTTCTCTGATGGCTTTACACAATTTCCAGGATTGAATTCTGTTTCTCAGCCACAGTGAAAGCCCTTGAAATGTTCTCTGAGTGTAGGAATTACTCACTAAGGGTACGTCTACACCTGCACCCTAGTTCCAACTAAGGATGCAAATGTAGGCGACTGAAATTGCTAATGAAGTGGGGATTTAAATATCCCGCGCTTCATTAGCATAATCTCGCCGGTGTGCTATTCCGATCGCCAGCTGATTCGAACCAGGAAGTGCGCTCCAGGCCGCATTAGTTCGAATCAAGCCCTTTGGTTCAAACTAACGTTACTCCTCATTCCTCAACTTACTCCAAAATGAAGAGTAACATTAGTTCAAACCAAGGGGTTTGATTCGAATTAACGCGGCCTGGAGCGCACTTCCTGGTTCGAATCAGCTGGCGATCGGAATAGCACACCGGCGAGATTATGCTAATGAAGCGCGGGATATTTAAATCCCCACTTCATTAGCAATTTCAGTCGCCTACATTTGCATCCCCAGTTTGAATTAGGGTGCAAGTGTAGATGTACCCTAAGGATTTCTCTCTCTTGTCCCATGATTGAGACGTACCAAGAGGACTCTAACCCTCATTCAAGCTCTGGTTCTCTGGTGTACAATAAGAATGTTTTGATTGTTGCCTCACCAGTTTTTGCTCTTTGTTCACAGAGTCGGAAACATGCAAGCAAAGTGCGACTTTACTACATGCTACACCCTATAGATGGAGGCTGCCCAGCCAAGAAGCTCCGATCAGAAAATGTGAGTGTTTGAGCCCTATTTGGCATGGCTTTGTGAATCTATGAACCTGTGCAAAGGTATTTTACTCCTTTCTCTGATAATCATATACCCAGAGGTAACAGCTCAGCTACCTCAAACGTTAAGTTACTGAAAACAAATTTCAGTAAATGATACAGAAAATATGACATGCATCAGCAACACTAATTGAATTTTGGTTTTTACTTGCCTCTTTTTTTGGAAAAGACAAAACCATCAGTATCCTCATGACACAAATCCAGTATTCATGCAGTCCATTCAGAGCCAGACCAAACGGTCTGAAATACCTTTTGTTTATTGACTGATGAACTGCAGTGGAAACGACTGAAAGGATAATCATGACTATGTGGTTGATTGCACTTTCAGTCTAGTATCCCTTGACTGTGGGGGTGGGGTGCTTTCATTGTGATGGTTAAAGTTCTGTAACTTCTATTGGACGTCTGCATTGAAGTCAGGCCAAGTTCCATATATTCAGATATTTGAACAAACTTTCTTACCCAAGGGGGTGGAGAGAAAGCATCACGGAGAGAATGAAAACGTTAGAGAGGCAGCCAGAGAGAGATTCCCGGGGAGAGTAACTGGTGAAAGGAAAATGGGGAAGAAAGAAAGAGACGACAGTGAGCAACTTCCATTCCAGTGTGTTTGTCCTGTAACCTTTATTCCACTCTCCCTTATGGCCTTTGCATGTGTCAGCTTCCTGGCAATTCTTTGCTTACTTGGCTGTGACAGCTGCTCTCTTTGCCCATCTCAAGATCCTTTCACTTACGTCCATTTTGTGTTGTCCTCACTGATCTCTCTCTTTCTAGTGTAGAGCACTTGGCACAACTAGTTCAGCCTGGGAGATTAACTATTCCTCGGAGTTAGCACTATGGACATCACACTGAGAGTCTTCCCTCCTGGGAAACAATCCCGTTCTGCAGAGCTCTTCTTTGTTCAAAGCTTAGCGCTGGCAACAAACTTTGCTGGTCCCTGACTCTGTGTGTGTGTGTGTGTGTGTGTGTGTGTGTGTGTGTGTGTGTGTGGCGGGAAGGGAAGGCAGGGGGCTTCAGCTCTGGGGCCCTGGAAGGGGCAGGGCTTTGGGGAGAAGGGGTGGGGCTAGGATCAGCCAGCCCACAGCACCCCGCAGACCTTGCTGCACAGCGCTCTAGCAGCAATTTAAAGGGGACAGGGCTCTGCCTACTGCTATGGTAGTGGCGGCAAGGGCCTGGAGCTCTGGGCCCTTTTAAATCGCCAGGACCTGGGGCAACTGCCCCTGTTGACAGCCTTGGCAAACCTCCTTCCTGGGGTCTCTCACTTCATCCATTGGTGGCTCCATCCTGCTCTCTAGTTCCAGCCGAACCCTTCCCAGAATGTTGACCCTATCACCAGTGATCCAGCATCCACACACTCGCCCTTTTCATTTTGGAGCCCATTTGACTTCCTGTTGCTCCTGCTCAGTGCAAACCTGCTTGAGTTTGCTTGGACAGCATGTGCCTGCCCTCGCGCTACCCGCCCATGAGTCTGTGCTGCTGCTATGGAATAAATCATCCCCCGCCCCCGCTGCTCACGAGGTGGTCTCCGTAGGAATTCTCTGGCTTGTCCAAGCTCAGTGTGTCCCAGCACCGCAGAACCGGTTTCAGTCTGTTATGGGTGTCTGCGCCCCGGCCTTCCAAGGTGGAAGAGACGTTACTTATCCCTGCTCAGATGTGACCCAGTCCCGGTGTTCATGCAGAGCCAGCAAAGTTGAGCTATTTAGACTGTCTCTTGAAGGCAGCATGATAAGCTCATTGCCACGTGCCGGTCACAGAGGTACCCCACTCATTCCAGCTTGTCGGTACGGTTATTGGAGCTGCGGCCCAGCGACTTTAAGGAATATTCCGGGAGTATGGTGCTGCTGGAGCCCAGTTATGTTTCTCTGAAAAGACATGTCACCAAAAAGAGCACCGTGGTCTCCTGGCAGAGAAAACCGTGCGTATGTGACTCTAGAGCAGTGGGGGGCAACCTGTTGTTTGTGGGCCATGTGCAGCCCACCCGGGTTCTAGGTGTGGCCCGTGAGATGTTGTGTTACCGTTGCCCATTGCGGGGCTCATTCCTGCCAGCGCAGTTTGTTCCCCAACTGGTATTACTGAAGTGACGTGCACATAAAGCAAGGGCAGGTGAAACGAGGTGCGTGCTGATTGCTCCTGACTAGGAGATCTGTGTTCTCAGGCCTGACAACAAGGGGGTAGCGATTCTAAAGGTCATGGGGCTCTGGGCCCTTTAAATCGCCACTGGAATGCTGCACGGCGCACTCTGGGCCGCTCTGAGAGCCGGGCGGGAGGGTGTTGTGCTTTGGCGGGGCAGAGGGCTGGTGTAGCATGCTCGCTGCTCTGGCCCCACCCCTCCTGCCTCAGCCCCTGCCTCTTCCAGGGGCAGAGAGCCACCTCCCCATCTTGCCCAGGGGTCTAGTGTGGCTGTGGGTTCCCCTGCGTGTGCTCCCCTGCAGCCAATCAAAGTGCGGCTACGGTTCAGTCGGCACCCCCTGCAAATCCTAGGTGAGCAAAACTACCCTGTCCTGGAAGACCCTCTTGGTTACGACACTCTTGCGGCCCTTGAGATACAAGAGGGCCTCTCGTGTGGGCTGCTCACTTGCCTAGGTTGCCCATCGCCACGTATCCTACCTCTTGAATATTTTTAACTCTAAAACTAAATGAAGGGTTGAAGGAAGCCAAGCCTGTTTCAGCTCCACATTTCGGATGATGCGTCTCTCCAGCTGTACATTATCAACATCATTTTCCAGCCGACCTTTAAATGACATGGAGGATCATATTTACCATTATCTGATGCTGATGAAAAAATGCTCCATTCTTTAAATAGCTATTAAGCCTCCATCTTACAAAGCACTGAATTTACCCAACCCGATTATTAGGCAGCCTTTTATTGTTTTAATACTTTTTTGTAAAACAAACCTGGTGTCTTTGGCATACTGAGCGGTTGTTGACCTTTTCTTTTAAATGTGCACTTAACATTTCAGCCAAAAGTAATTTGAGAAGGTCTCAGGTGGGACCAGGTCACAGTTTGAGAAGGTCATGGGCTCTGAAATGAGCACTCATGACTTCAGACCTTAGACTTGACAAAAGGAGGTTTCATCAGGATTTCTCCATCACCACTGAATAGAGAATGAACCCGGCTTAAGACTGACAGAGTTTGTGCCTTTTTTCTGTGCACTTTGGGGCAGAGGGGTTGGGACAGGGAGAAATCGAGTCGTAGTTTCTTCCTAGTCCCATTTGTATTCTTAGGTGCTATTACAATGCAGAGCAGCCCTAGTCAGCGACTGCACTTATTGAAGGGGAGGGGAGATGCGATGGAGCCATGGCTTGCCTGAGGGAACATAAGTAAAAGGATATCAAAACATATGCCTTGTGAGGAATGCTACAGACAGTTAAACAAAGGTGCCGATACCATTGCCTAAAGGGCGCAGACGTCTTTGTTTCAAAGCTCCTGTGCTGCATCACAGATCACTTATCCCTACAGATGTTGTAACGTTCCAGCAAAGCTTTAGCGCAGGCTTTCGTTTGCACGTGGGGCGTGATTACACCGACAGGAAAGGAAAATGCTCCGTTTTCACGCCTCCGTATGCCGCTGTCATTGGGAGGACTGGGCCTGGCTGGGTTGTAGCAGAGCTCAGGCTGAGGCACCTGGGGCCATGGAGAAGAACCAGCTTCCTTAAGATGAGCTGGGGGGCGGTTGCCGGGGCAGGGGCAGGGCTGACAGCCAGTGATGCGTGGGGGCACAGAACGCTGTGGGCAGCCCCTGGCAGCAGGCCTGAGTGCAGGGATGTGGGAACCAGACTCCACAGGGAAGGGGCAGGGCTTGGAGGCCGGTTCCCAGGGCAGGAGTAGGGCTCTCTGGTGAGGAGGCCTGTGGAGTGGGGCGGTGCAGAGCGGCCTCATTCAGGGACCTGCGGGGGCCGTGGGAGAAGAGGCGCTGTGGGAAAGACGTGAATCTGGGGACTCTCAGGCACATGGGTTTGAGAGCGAGGCCCAGAGCAGGGGCCAGGAGCGGCACCAGGCTGGAGACAGGCTGGAAACGAAGTCCCTGCAGAGGATGGGGAACCCTGCTGTACCGTAGGGCTCAGGGAAGACTGGCGTTATCACAAGGGCTCTGGGCACTTGACTCAGTCGTGTCCACGGGTGAGGTTTCAAGCGGACACAGACGATGTTCCTTGTTATGAGTGACCGGAGGGGAAACGGGGACAGACATACTGGTGGTGCCACGGCCTGCCCTGGGGTCCCTGCCACCGTTCCATTGCTGCAACTTCGCCAGCTAGATCTGGGGCTGCTCTCTTTTGGTAACTGGACCCACTTCAGAAGGGGCCTGTCCTTGCCGCTGGGCCTTCCCTTTCTCCACGAGGATCTGGTGGTTGGTCTGACCTGTGGCCTGGAAGTTGGACCTAGTGGTTCAGCCATAGCAAAGTCCTGGGTCCAAGACACTCTCTCACTCAGCTGTTCCAGGATCGGCACGCGCGTTCAGTCTCGCTGCATTGTGCGTGTTGGCCCTGCCAGCAGGTGGGGCGATGGGTGGGAGACAGTTCCCAGCTGTTTCAGTTGAGAGACTTACGATGGAGACTGGGGAGGTGACTGAAAGTGGGGAAACTGGCAGTCCAGGCTGAAGAGAGAGATGTGACCCAAACGCTGGGCACCGGATTGAAACGGGTGAGTTCCTGGTTCCACCTTTCCTGGCTAGAGATCCAGGAATAATCCGCACAAGCTCCATCTCTCTTCCCCTTTCAGAACCCTGGACAGTGACAACGCCCATTCCTTTCCGTGTGCTCTCCAGTGTCTGCCCAGGCCAGCTTGAAAGAGAGGCTTGGGACACCATGCCTGTCATGTCTGTGACTGGAGCAACAGCAGGGATCCAAGCTCTGAGTCTAGAGGCAAGCTCTTCTACTGTCAGAGCTGGGCAAGTCGGGTTATTTCACTTTGTGGCCTGTGGCCCTTAATTTAAGATTGTTTATTCAAAGGAAT